TTATATAATCTAAACTATATCTTTTTTCTTAATTACAAAAATTTCTCTCATTTATCTCTAATTTATGTAATAAATAAATCCCTGAAAATATCAAGTTGCTTTCGTTTCACTTCAAATCTGGTCCTCACAACTTTGAACATCTCTTGGTTAATGTCACAAAAATCAAGTCCGAGGAATCCGTACCGTCATGTCGTATTCCGTGATATAAGCGGGGATCTCCAGTTGCTCGGGAGACATCACGTCGTAAAGATACTCGACTCCAGGTAAATTGTGAACCTTCTGTTTGATGGCTGGAGCCATGAACGTCGTAAACCACCACGTCATCATCTACAACAGATAACAAAGGAATTACTACATTTACATACGCCAGCTCGACGTATTATCATATTTCGACGTTTCAGTTTAACGAACAACAGCAGCCTGTAACCTGTCGTCGAAATACGATTTATTCGTTCGGTTATTAAATTGACGAGAGTGGGAGGAGAAGACAGCAGAAAGGTCCAATTATTTTCCTCCGCTTCATATCGACATTGTCGTTTACCTTATTTGGCGGTTCCTTTGAAAGCATTTTGTCCCGCTAACTATGCCAGATCCAGTTCACGAGATACTGACTGGCCTTACGAAGGGTCAAGGACGAAGTTTGCACGGGTTTGCAAATCGCGAACGCGAAAACGCGTTTGCTAAATGGCTACCGGAAGGGCAGGATGTTCGATACGATCGTGCGATTAACATGTGACGCAAATGTGGAAAAACACAAGACGACGCAGTAGAGGCTTCTACGTCTCGAAGTTTCGACTTGATATTACTCCTTATCGATTATTGCTATCATTCCGATCAACGCATAAATCTGAATGTGTTAAAATTTTCCATGAAAATGCATTTCTAAATGCATTACAACAGGAGAAGTTGATATACTTTTGAGTAGTTTATTCGTTTCTGAAATTGAGACTTTTTTCTGTTTTTTTTTTTTTTTTTTTTTTTTTTTTAAGGAAAATTGGCGTGTATTTCTGATTAGTTGATTTGGTCCTGATTTACCACTGTGTTTCTAAATGCATTAAAATTTCTCTCAACGAGAGAAATTGATACACTTTTGAGCAGTTAATCTGCATTGCTAATTGAAATCTTTCAACAAGAACAATCGATATATTCTACTGGTTCTGATTTATTCATTACGATAATATCTTCAAACAGGAAAAAATTAATATTAATCATATAATTGATGTTGCTAAACGGTTTAATTGCCTGTTTACCTTGGTCCAGAAAGTCGGGTGGATAATGTAGAAGTGTTTCAGGTTCTTTTTATACCTGCAACAAAAGCATTTTCATGTATACTGATATGTATGTATCTTGATTTGTGTAATAATTCATTGATATGTATCTCTTTGTCGATTCCTTTCCAAGCAAACTAGTTATTGTTGCGTCAGAATTCTGAATATGATTTAATATAACGTGATGTAATGGACTTTACGAGGCGTTGGTACATGTAATTTCAAGATGTT